ACTAAAATTAAGAAATTAGTAAAAAGTGGATAACAGCGATGAAAAGGCTAGAAAAGACTGTTTACCTTTTCATCGTTCCGTAAACTACATTGCTAATATTGCTACTATACTGTTCGGTGGCGTCCTCTATTGTACGCCGAACATGATTTCTAGACGAAAGTGTTTTACAGATATTACAGTATTTTACAAATTTTTTGGGATGCTACGCATCCAATAGAAATTTAAACGATTATCTATTTTATATCACTTTTATGTTACTCACAGTTAATTAAAATTATTCTGAAATTTAAAAATAATGTTTATATAGTTCCATAACAATTTTTTAATACAATATACAATAATATATATTTGGTAGGTATGTATGTGTAGTGAGGATATCTGTCGCGAGAATTTTTCTATTTTCCGTTTATTTATCCTTTTTTCTTTCTAAGACGAAGAGCACAGACTCTTGCATAATATAATACAATGCATAAAGGTATATCCACACAAACTTGCATAGCTGCATAAACATATGCATAAAGAAAATTATTCAATCACATTTTACGTGCATCTTCATATGAGAAATGCGATTGAATAATTTTCTTTATGCATATGTTTATTCAGCTATGCAAGTTTGTGTGAATATACCTTAAGAAAGTCCTTCGTTTCCTCCCTTTCTATAAAATAAAGAACTCTGATTGGTTGAATTTTTGCCTTAGGCGTTATGCATAAGAAAATAAATCAATCAAAGTCTTTCGTTTTCTTCCTTATAAAATAAAGAACTTAGATTGAATGAATTGTTTATGTATTATAAAAGTTTGCAAAAGTTTGTGCTCCCCGGCTTAAGGATACATCCATAAAAGTATGCATAACAAAAATTATCCAATCACATTTTATATGCGATTTTATAAGAGAAATGCAATTAGATAATTTTCTTTATGCATATGTTATGCGGCTATACAAGTTTGTGTGGATATACAAAGCAGCAAGTACAGACTTTTGCATAACACGTAATGTATGAGAAAATGTACCAATCAAAGTCCTTCATTTCCTTCCTATCCATGAAATAAAGAACTCTGATTGGTTGGATTTTTTATGTCTTATGCGGCTGTGCAAATTTATGTGGATATATTCTAAAGCGGGAAGCACAGACTCTTGCATAACGCATAAACACATAAGGCATAAAAAATTCAGAATGCGAGGAGAATAAGTGATTGTGATTCGTCCATTCCTTATGTCTTAAGGCTTAAAAATCTATTGTAGATCCGGAGTTATGCCTGAAGTGCCTGAACACCTATCAATTTTATTTTAGACGACTACTATTCTTCCGGCAATGTAATTGGATGACGTTTGACTGCATCATCACGTCCACGTGATCTGCAAATACCCTTCGTAGGTTTCCTACTACGATTGTCGTGATCCATGGCGAGACGTCTCTCGGTCTTTCATCATGGCACACGTCAGCACAGCGCGCCCTCTGTTTTCCTTGTTCGTGTATTTGTATATGTGTGATGTGGAGAGGTCGGTTCGTATACGATAAAGACATTTAGATTAAATCGTATACACGGAGCATTGCAGAATCACTCGTCAGGATGGTAAGTGATTTTCTTCCACGGCCATGAGATCGTCATTGTCAAAATTCTGCTTTTTGAAAAAGAAATCCTGGAGGGGTAGAGCCACTCATGACATCGTCCACAGATGTCATCCATTTAACGGCGTGTGCCCGCCAGGCATTTAATTCTGTAGCTAAATTTATATGGTATTGTATGCTCCTTTTTTTTCTAGGTACTCATCGCCGCTGCGGTATGCACCAAATCCGGAAAAAGTGAGTTTACAAAATGTTGTTGCATTGCTCCGCTGCTGTACACATGTCGCGTATGTGTGCCTCGTTTTAATAGTGTCAGCTACTAATCACATGATATTTTTACCTCATCTATAATCCACATTCTGTTCTATTTATTGAAGAATGAGTATTAACTGATCGGTTGTAAGGAAAATTCGCATAATATTTTGCTTCCTTGAACCTATTTTTATCGATAGAATTAAGTAATTTGAAAAAAAATATTTGATGCAATTATTTCATTATCACGATTTATATTACTCTTCCAGCTATAATTTCTCGACAGTTTGTCGAAATGACAAAAGCGAGGATAGAAGGCCTACTTGCTGCGTTCCCAAAACTAATGAGCTCGGGTAAACAGCATACATTCGTGGAAACGGAATCTGTTAGATATGTTTATCAGCCACTTGAAAAGGTATACATGCTGCTTATCACGACTAAGGCCAGCAATATTTTGGAGGATTTGGAAACTCTAAGGCTCTTTGCGAGAGTGGTAAGTAGATATATTAATGGATCATAAAAGTAATGGCTGCATTCGGTAGAAAAAAACTAATCAGTTAGCGCTTAGCAATTCTTTAATACAATTGGTTCTTACACTTAGATTTAACGAAGAACTAAAGACATTAATCATATATCTAAACACTAACTGATTAATTTTTTCTGCTGAACACAGTCTTTTCTATGGATCAGTGAGCTTTATAGGATATGTTCTGCTTGACAGTTTTCTCTCCTTAATGCAGCCAATGATATTCTGATGTGACTATTTTTTTGATTAATTGGCTAATGTTGTTTTATTATCATAATTAAAAGAAGGAATCAGAAAGACAAATATTCATATGTTTTCCTTTTTTCCATCAGATTGCAGTTTTTTTTTATAATTTAGTATAGGAAAGACTTACTCCATTATAGATAAAACTTATTACTGTAGATATTAATTATATATGCGCTAAAGTATATATTGTTTGATTTCTACAGATTCCAGAATACTGCAACTCAATGGATGAACTTGAAATAGCAGAGAATGCGTTCAATTTGATATTTGCATTTGATGAAATAGTTGCATTAGGCTATAGAGAGAACGTCAATTTAGCACAAATCAGAACCTTTGTAGAAATGGATTCACATGAGGAGAAGGTTTATCAAGCAGTTCGAATGACACAAGAGCGTGAAGCTAAGAATAAGATGCGTGAAAAGGCCAAAGAATTGCAGAGGCAAAGGATGATGGAAGCTAACAAAAAAGGCGGAATTAAAAGTCCCGCATTTGGCGGAGGATATGGAAGCGGTAGTACTCCAGCTACTCCGTCCGTTGGTGATACAGCTAACTTTGTGCCTGAACCAATTAGACCTTCTTACAAGCCCAAGCTGTATGATTAATTTTAATCTTGATTGTACTTGTATTTATAAATGTAAATATTTTTACTATAATTATTATTTTATTAGGAAACCACTAAATGTTGGACCAGGTGCAATGAAATTAGGTGGAAAGTCTCGCGATGTAGACTCATTCGTTGATCAATTGAAGGAGGAAGGAGAAAATGTCGTATCAGGACCACTTGCTGCTCTTGGAACAAAATCAACGCAAACACCTCAGATAATTAATACAGAATTGTATGTTATATTAACGACATATAGAAGCTTCAAAATCATTCACGAACAAATTATTCAAATGTATTTCCATCAAAAGGGTTCATTTAAGACAAGAAGAACGACTTAATGTACGCGTCGGTCGGGATGGAGGTTTACAAAATTTCGAGTTACATGGCTTGGTAACTTTATATATCTCTGACGAGAAATGGGGACGTATCCGTGTGCAAGTCGAGAACAGCGACACAAGAGGAATACAGTTACAAACTCATCCAAACGTGGACAAGGAATTGTTTAGATCACATGGACAGATAGGTCTGAAAGTACCTACGAAACCATTCCCATTGAACACTGACGTTGGTGTACTGAAATGGCGTTTTCAAGCTCAAGACGAAACAGCATTACCAATTTCAAGTAAGGCTGCAATAATAATTGTCATGTACGCTTTTACTTTTAATTTTTAATAAATTTTCTTTTAAGTCTATGAAATATACGAGTATACATTTAATTGTTTGTAATAGTAAATTGCTGGCCTTCTGAAAACGGAGAGGGTGGCTGCGACGTGAATATCGAATACGAATTGGAACAGGCCGATCTTGAGTTGAACGACGTCCAAATAAACATTCCTCTACCTATTGGATGTAATCCTATCGTTAGTGAATGCGACGGACAGTATACACACGAAGCACGACGAAACACGTTAGTTTGGTCCCTACCAGTGATTGATGCTTCAACGAAATCAGGCTCTATGGAATTTTCTGCCCCATCTTCTACACCTGCAGATTTCTTCCCACTTCACGTTTCATTTACGTCTAAAACGCCGTATGCTAAAATTAAGGTATGGAATACATGGATTTCTATGTGTTGCGCAAATTATATCAAATTATATAAAAATAATGTTATTTTTACTTTTCAGGTTAGCGAAGTTCTGCTTGTAGAAGATCAGAGCCCAGTTAAGTATTCAGTAGAATCAGTGTTCTTTACTGATAATTATGAAGTTGCATAAGACATTATGGATAATAGATGAAAAGTATTTGCGTATGTAAGAATATGAAAATAGGCACAGTTCAGTGGGAAAGCATAATGTTACGATCAACAATCAAGATTGATTACTATTTGAATTTGAATTTTATTGCCATACAGCCATTCTTACGTGATCCATTAAACATTGATATATGTCATTTGCTATATTTATGTACATGTATCAATTTAATATGCTATTTAATAGCTGTTCGGTGCCGAATACTTATACACATTTGTAAAAAAAAGGAGATATATTTTAATTGGACTAAATTTGATTATAATTATACACGCAAATTTATCATGTTTATTTTCTACTCGATACATATATTTTAGTATTGCAATAGCTCCTGCAAAAGATTGTATTATTACCAAATATATATATCAAATTTTGTTACTCATTCGTAAGTTTATGTTACCTTGTCTCGGAAAATATTTCACGTTGTATTGCCATGTTTTTTAAAATTATTGTTAAAAATATGCTATATAGAAAAATTTTTCTTATACTTAAACGACAAAAACAATTATTTCTTCATTTTTATTTATAATTTGTAAAAACGTATAATATACAAATGTTACAATTTAATAAAACAAATATCGTTATAATTCATCCGTTGGCGTATTTATAATTTGTGGTATCAAATGATTCTCAATAACTGCTTTAGCTGCAAATTAATAAAAATCAAATTTACTATTTTCATGTAGATCCTTTTAAATGCTTTTAAAAGAAAATGCTTACCATTCATTGAATTATTCATAATTGCTGCTTTATAAGCACTTACATTTGAGGTATTAGTAAGTGTTATTTCTGCACCTTTTATTAATAATTCATAACAAACGTGTGGATGATCGCAGTGTGCTCCATATATTAATGGAGTATTACCATCCTACAGCACAGAAATATAATTATATGACACATAGTTCCAGAAATTAAGTTTATACTTAAAAGAAATGTGTGTACCTCGTCACATGCGTTAGGATCAGCTCCATGATTTAACAATAATTTGACAACATCGTGATGACCATAGGCGGCTGCCAAGTGTAGACTAGTCTGTAAGTTTGGTCCACAACGATTTATACTGGCGCCTCTTTTGAGCAATTGTTTAGCACTACCTATTTGTCCATAAGCACTGGCCCACATCAATCCAGTTAAGCCCTTTTCATCAGTCATATCCACTGAGTCTGTGCAGCAAAGATGTGTTATTTTACAACAATATTTGTATTTTAATTTAGACAATAATGGCAAATTTAATCATTTGCATTACTATATTAGTGCTAAAATAGCTATCCATAAAATATACATAAAATATACATTAACATATTTATTTAAATATTTTAAATAATTAAATTTCCAATAACAATATTGTCACGTTATTTAACAGGATATATGTGTATTATCTCATTGTCAAAGTTGATCATATTAAACTACTGCATTTAAATACTTTATATAAAGCAGCTTTTTTAATATATATTAATTCAATGTAGTGCATGTGACTGAATTCATCATAAGATGTACAGTGTATAGATATAATTTACTTGAATGTATATGGTCAGATGTAAGTTCCCCCTGGCCCGCCAAAGTATGAAACGTGATGTCGTTGCCAACATAGAGCTGGTGTATCTGCGTTTGAGTGTTGCCTCTTTGCAAATTTGTGAGCAGAGTGGGTGGCTACAAATAGATAAAAAATGAATAATACTTTTGAAGTTTTCACAGAGTACTTTCTATACAGAAGCTATAAGCTCTTCTTGTCCAGATTCATTATTAGAATGCCAACAATAACACATTTTGTAAGTATTATAGTTTACTTCATCAAGAGATGTCTGATAGGAGCAGTCTGATAAACTGTCAAACTGATAAAATAAATTAATTATATATAATTCCTCGTCCTGATAAAATAAATTATAATATTCACGAAACATTGGCATTCTAATAATGAATCTGGACACGGAGACAATCCATGAACTGCTTAGCTTCTGTATAAAAAATAAATCTTATATATTTAATTATAAAATATAAATATTCTATGGCCTACAGGCGACGGTATTACAATAACTTCTTTGTCGCGACGGGTGAATCCCCTGATTCTTGAGGTGGATACCGATGTCCGTGGAGTTCAAGGAGAAGGCTGAGAGAGGAGTACCTTGTATGGTTGGAAGGCGCTAGTCCTGGTCGAGTCTTGCCACGCTCCTGGTGCCCAGTGCCACTTTGTCTCGAGTGGCTCGGACTTGCAGCCGGGCAGAGCAGCGGCCCCCTTTGATTTCGTCCTCTTCCCGCTCCTCCTTTAGAATTAATTCCGAGTGAATCTGATCTTCCATAGCTGTCAAACATGAAATTTCAAATCGCACAAGTAACGTGCGAGATGTACCAAGCGGATCAGTTTCTTTTTACGATGTCCTTTTTATTCGTTACTTGTTAGTCGAACGCGAAAACAGAATTTTCTGTCAAATCATATAAAACTGGTTGAACTGGATTACTGGATTTACACCATGTTGGAGGTTAGGAATACATTATCTCGAAGTTGAATAATCCGATTGAAAACATTCCACGTCGGACTGTCGGAATTGTCAAGAAACGTGGAATTCGACTGCCATTCTCATGTTGATATTGTTCCACTATTATTTAAATGCAATAATCATATACGACACCCTGCATAGATGCTGTATGTGTTCCGTTGGATGGTATTGTATTTATTTACGAAAGGATGTACATACATGTGCGAACATTGAGAACCGATACAAATAAGCAGTTCATGCGCGCTGGAAAGCTGTTTTAGATGTGCGACATATGCGGCGTGTTGACGATGGATTTAGTGTTATCAATGGGCGCATTCAAGTTGACAAAGCGGCTAGTCCGTTCGCCAAGCAAATCAGCATAATTGGTTGTTACTTATAGATCCAACCAATCATATACAATCGCTCGGTAAGCATGCCTAACCGCTTTGCCTAACCGTCTTGAATTCCCCTATTGTTATCAATGGGCGAGTTCAAGACAAAGCGGCTATGGTTGGATCTGTAAGTAACAACCAATTATATTCATTTGCTTGACGAGCAGGCTGGCCGGTTTGTTAACTTTAACGCATCCAATATATCATAAAAATTGTTTTCCATTTATACCGATTCTCAGATAATTCTCACTTGTGACGTCATAACTCAGTTGAATGCGCGTTCCTTTGCGTTCTGACAAGTGAGATTTAAATGAGTTTTTGCCTATAATCTGCAGAAGATCGAGATCGTGTGAGTCTCGTAAACTTACTTTTTTTAAAAGTGAAGTTATGAACCTGTGTTGTCATTATCATGTGATAATTTTTTACCAAAGTAAGTAAATAATGATGATCATTAATTTGAGTATAAAATACTCAGCTCACTTCAGATTCAGTTTCACTTGTGTGTAAATGGAAAGCAACTAAACTTAACGGTAATCTGAGACTACGTTCGTTCTATTTTCGGAAGATTAGAGCAAACGATTAAATTAATTAATTGACAGATTAATTTAATTGTAGAATTATAAAATTTCTTTCATAATTTTTTTCTTTCGCAATCGTCTTTTTTTTCTGTGCAAAAAAGTGACAAATAATAGTTTTATTCATTAATAAAAATACAGAATACGTTACTTGAAAACTTAGGATGATTTCGGCCAATTAACTCCGATTAATTTAATTGATGTTTAATATGAACCGATAGAATTGCTCACGGCAAAATTTTTGTCTACCATCCAAAGATTTGAATGCTAATCAAATCTTTCTTTCTAAACGAATAATATTATTAATAGTAATATTAATAGTAATATTATTAGTATTATTAATAGTGTAGTAATATATATCAATAAATTAATCGCCGATTATGTTAATTGAATTGTCACAGCATGACGTCAGAGATGATAAATAAGCTGATATTGATGAAGGAAATATACGCATTTCGGATTCAGAGTTATTTATTAACACAGTGTACTTACAGCATTTACTAGACTAACAAGGGAGAAATTTACTAATAATTTGGCATTGAGAGGGAAGAGGAGGGGGCGAGAGGAAAAGGGGCGATTGATCTTGATTATACACGCTTTCTCACCAGCAAGGCTTTCTCGGAGAGCAAGCCGAATAACGGCTGCGACGTGCTCAATCGGGCATCAGACTTTAAAGATCGCGCCAATTTGGTGCAATCCATTCTTCCCTGATATTTTTCCGCTAACAAGAATACGTATTTCTACTTTAACGCGACTGACAACGACAGTATGACAATAGGTATCAAATTCGAGGGATAGTGCGAGGCGATGCTCAAGTCATCTCATTCTCATTGCTCAATAAAGTGATTCCTTTTTCTTTGTGAGGGTGGGATAAAGTGATACATGAAAAAAAAAAGATACATGTCGTAAGAAAATTTGGGGTTTTCCTAATCAGTCTTTTTTTTTTCTTGCCCTCGCGCGAGATTATCACAGAATTATTCAGATTATTTAAGTGAGTGGCCAGTGAGAAGAATTGACGCGATCTCGTCCGTGGAACTTAGCATACTTGTTGACGTTAACGCTGCATCTAAAGTCGATCATGTGTCTCTGTACAATTTCTGCCCATTTCTACTAACGTAGATTAACTTTAATCTTGATTTAACTTACTTTTTATCTTTTTCTAATTCTAAGAATTATAAAAGGATAAAGAGTAAATTAAACCGAGATTAACGTTAATTTACAGTGATAGAAATGGACACATTAAAGGATTATCTTCGCGAGGTAATCCCGTATTCTGTCGTACGAGATCGTATCGCGTATATCGTGTTGATGAGAAAGACTAGAATCGATGTCGGTGATGCGTGCGCGAGTAGCTCGTTTAATACGGATGCTTTCCATTTAATGGCACAAATCGATACAAGCATCGTTCCATCTTTCTTTATATTTAGTAAGCAATAAAAATAAAACGACACTTGTGTCGACTTGTGCCACCAAATGGAAAGCACTTAATGAAGAAAAGTTCGCAACAGGCATGGAAATATACCTTCGTTTACCTCTCTTTCTCTCTCTTTCTGTAAACAAAATGTATTGTCGACAAGCCACCACAAATACGTAAATTGTCTCTCGACAATTTCAACAATTCCTCTGCTCCTTTTCTCGTTTCTCTTTATTAGAATCATAAATAGAACGGAGTGTTCAACATTCGATCGTTTACAACGTTTATAAAGTACATTAGCGATACGGGTCGTACGTGTCAAGGATCAATCGATAACAGTTATTAGCAGACGTGACAGGCGCAAAATTAGAACGTAGTCGATCATGCGGTTACGTATAAAAATTTTCAGCCCGGCAACTTATCTCTAGACATCGCTTTTCGTTCAGCGCGCTGGAAAAATTCTGATACAATACAGGAGAACGAGAATCTTTTTTGCACAATATCTTTTGACCGATTGCAAACTCGTTCTCTCTAACGAATCTTAATCTTAAGTTAACGATAATTACAAAATTTATCGCTGATATTAACAATGCGGCCGAAAGCATCTCTTTTTCTCCCCAGTAAGCAAACTATTCGCAGAATGCCAGAAGATTGATAACAAATTCGATTAGAAAAATTCAGCAGATCAGTACCATCTGTGTCCGAATTGAAACTTTCTTATGCTCTGTCAATCAGCTGTACCTCGATAGGATAACACACTTAATAAATTATATAACAAAATCTTGTATAAAATTTGTAATCTGCAATTACGGGTATATTTACAAAACAGATGTAAAAACTCTGATCTTTTCTAAAACATTAATAACTGTTAATAACTGTGCTCAATTAAGTTCAATATAGTATTTCAGCAAAATAATAATATATTCAAAATCGAATCATCCTAGCGCAATTATTGCAAAATTGTCGTAAGTTCATGATGCCATTAATGTGCAATATTTTCAATTTGCCTATCGAGGTGTTAAATCATGCAAACAAATTGTTATATTTTTTTTGTGACATTCTGTCGCCAGCATCTGATATAACAGATTCTGCATCAAAATTTGTTAATGATTTGCAAAATCTGTTTAAGCAGACTTGACCTACTGGGTCTCTTTCACTCTCTCTCCTTTCCCTTTGTAACGTCATTAAAATCTTTTGATTAAACACACGTCTGATATTCACGATACTAAGAAAGAATTAGAGCACAAGTAAAGAGAGTAGAAATCTAAGGTAGAATTATATTAAACACTCCTCCTATGTAGATGCGTTATTTTAACGGGAGATTATCATTAAATTAATGAACGCCGTTTGCTTGTTTACAGCCAGCTGATATCACGATCAGCGCTATGTACATGATCAATTAGTTTGTCATACAATTCCACAGCTCTTGGAAAAAAATTTCCGACCTCCTCTACGATTGTGATTTCATTAGTTCGTTCCTCGGTCGCGGGAGATTTTTTTTTATCATGGCAGTATATAAGGCATGCGCGTTTTTTTCTTTCCTTTTTTTCCCCGTTTATTTCGCGTATGTATCTTAACTTACGTGATTATATTCTCGCAACGATATTATCGACGTTTAGATCTATCGTCTATTCTTGCCGCGAAAAACGAGAAACGAATTAATCATATGGATATATTTAACATGATGAGTTTTTTTCTTTTCGCTCCTTTTTTTCTTCTTTTGAAAATGTGAACAACTTCGAGTCAAAATTTCAACATACATAAGCAAAAACTACTTCTCGTGAATGATTATCAATAGATTGCTATAATGACAAACACGTCTTACGTCTTACGTTAAGTCTTATTTCATTGCTACATTCAAACTTCACGTTTCCGTTAATAAAAATCGTTAGACATCAACATGCACCTAACATCGATAGAGATTGCTTATCGTTTCCCTTATACTAATTTCTTTTTGTTACATGTGACAACTCGTTTCGAACGTCGTTATAAGCCTATTATTTACAATTTTTCGAATTAGTGATGGTGATAATACTTGCTGATAGCGATTACTATTAGAAATTCTCGATGGTATCTCGTATTCTTACAATTCTTGTGATTTAAGATTTTCTCTTCATTAAATTCTACTTGTTAACGCCCGTCTGTGTAAAACTAAGCAAAAATGTAATATTATCTACACACAATTCTATCATTCAATATCGCGTCTTCGTAAATTATAAATACAGTGTGAAAAATGTGTCCATTAGTTGTTTTAGATGAATAAATACTATACATAGTCTCGGGAGAGGAGAATAGGTTAAAATTTTCTTTTTCTTTTTAAATGCGCCTGGCGATTGGATCCTGCCCAATCCTTCAGATTTACATCTTTATTAGCTGTCGTCATTAGCGCTCTAATCCTTTAGCACGCTTCGTGATGCACGTATAAAAAGACACTACTCTATTAGTACGGTAATAGAACAGTTCACGGCAGGCTTGCTGCTTGTAATAATTCACTTTTTTTTTTAGAGAAGAAAAAACTGCACGACGAGAAGTTCCAAGTAGAAGAAATCGCAATTTTATTAATATGAATAAATTAGAGAGTAATTATTGCTATTCAAATTTTCGACATAAACGCGAGACATAAACACGTCTTTATCTGATTAAAAACACGAAGCGTACTAGAAGAAAACAGAAGATATACGAAAGTGTACCTCATTTACGTTACTGGAAGAGTACATTATACTTCTGTGGTGCGACTGTAAGGACCGGACTCTTCAGATTGTGACAGTTTTCGCTCTCGTTTGGCGAAAAGACCTCCTAAAAAAGACGGTTGCTGAGCCAGTCCCTTACCACCGGCCCCAGGAATTGTAGCTCCTGGATGAATAGAATGAACTTGTCCAGGATGTTTAATGCCTTGGCTCATCGAGCTGGCAGAAGTAGATTGAAATGAAATAGACATACCGCTGTCCAGAGAACCCACGCTTCCACGACGCTGTGGCTTCTCACCGGCAACTAAATACATACATTGACACGTTACATTTTCATATATTTGCTAAAATGTAAATATGAAAATATAAATATATACTTTTCCCTACTTACACTGCTCGTGTATATCAAGAAGAGAATTACTAAGGGCGGAACGTTTCAATTGCGTGTCGACATCGACTGTTTCTGTTCTATCGGAACAAGTTCCGGGACAAGGACATATCTCTACATCAGCGACGCCAGAGTCTCTGTTTTCTGCACCGCCTCGCGCACCTCTACTGCTCTTTTGTCTCTCCAATTCAGTTTCAATACGTAAAGTTTCCATCTCATCCATTTCACTGATAGATTCTCTAAGATCTTCCACAAATTTACACCTGTCATGCTCGTTTCGAGCATTAAATGTGACTAGAACTTTTCCGTCGACACGCTGAGAGAGTCTTATGCCATATGGATAATCTGCAAGACAAATGATAACAATCAGAAATAAATATTACGCTAATATTTAAATATCTTCATAAATTTATTTCATTAAAACTTACGTGGAACTTCAAATAAAGTAACCACCATGCCACAAAGTGTAAAGCTCTGTCTGAAAGTGTAAGTTACGCTATTCTTCTTCTTGCTCAATATCTTTGTGACAACGAGCAGGTCGTTAAAGAGGAAAACCTCTCTCTGATGAACGCCAGGTCTCTCCTTCTTATGAATGTCCGGTATCTCGTAGAGCCTGCAGTAACACACCAATCTTCTATGTGGTAGCGCCATATTTGGCTTCTTTCCAACAATAGTCGCTTGGACCTTCATTACTTGCGACACATGGTCTGAGCCCGGCTTGAATTCGTTATCTTTCACTCGTTCGTAAATGCCAACTAGGATATCCCGATCTATATCACCACAATCATCGATTCCTCGAAGATTCTTTATGAAATCCTCGAGTCTCATTCTGCGCTCAGGCTTTAGGTTGGGTGTATGCAAATCCGTATTAAGCATGATAATAGCAAAGGCCAAGACAAAAACGGTATCTGCCGATCGCAGCCTCGATATTACGTCGTGATTGCATTGGCAATAACGTTGACTAAAGACTTCCATTAACCGCTCGATCTTTTGCGCCTCGCCAGGCATTCTGAAGTAGGCTTGAAACTTTCGTAAAGCGACATCCACTTGCATTCCAGAAAGATCTAATTCCTGGGAGAAACATCTGCAAATTATAAGTATTAAATTAAAGTATAGATATATCTAATAGATATAGAATAATTATAAGTAATAAAATACATGTTTCAAATATATTATAACAGTATTATTTAAAAAAAGTATTATATTTTAAATAATGTATAACTATAATGAGACAAAGTCTTTATTAACGAAAATTTATTCTTTTCTCAACATTAATTCAAGTATATTAAGTATATTAAACTCACTCAAGTACTGCCATATTGAAAGTGTTCTGCAAATTCCCAAGGTACTCTCCTATCATCTGTTTGGATAATCCTTTTCGACTGATCAAGAATCTGGCGACTCCTTGCGGACTGTTCTCCAAAAATCCACGTCTGATAAGGTAACTGATTCCCCTTTCCGGTTTCTTATTGAAAAGATTTAGACCGACCCTGTATTGTCGCTTCCTTACTGTTTCGGACACCTTGTAGCTCGTTTGAGGCGGCAGACTTTCCGTATGGTCCATTAGGGGAAGCTGATAACCGGAGCTGGCATGTGAGTGGCCAAGCTCCTTCACGTTAGCGGTCATCGCCGCCGTGTCAGCAGTATGACTCGCGCATTCCTGATGTTCCGGCGAACTCGACTGATTTCACAATCACAACAGTTCCGTTAACGCTTTTCGCTTATGTCCTCAGAAAATCGCCGTTACTTGCGCTGAACGAGCAAGTAAAGCGTAAATATAACGAGAGAAAGTTAACTATACTCACAATCCCTTTGTGCTTCCAGACAGGAGATCCTCTCTGAGCATCACCCTCGGAGCTTTCGCAATTGGTGGAATCACTACCGGAGCTCTGCACCGAACTTAGACTTCCGTTCTCCACACTTTTACTAAGACCGTTATGTCGTGGTTCCATGGATCTCGAGGTGATAGAAGACGTTCTCTTCGGCACCTCCGGGGGGACTTTTTTACCGGAACATCTCGTTCTGCCAGGACCAAGCTGGTTGGCGTTGTTCCAATTTTGCGATATAGTCGTCTGTAGATTGTGCGGTGTCGACGGCGATGTACATGGTGTTCGCAGCAAGTCTCTTGGCGGCGTTTCTTGTCTCAGGCCGCACAGGGCTTCCTGCATTAAACAGAAATTACATCTTTCTATCAAATTAAGGCGATAAAACAAGATATATTTTGTTGTAACAAATTATTAGTCCGTTCATTTTACAATATGATCGTCTTCTTTGTCATTACGTTTATCGACATTCACCTGTGGATTGTAATAATGGATACTGGAGCCGCTCTCCTGGGAGCTCGATTCCCAGCAGGGACTCGGTGGTAATTGCTGATGTCGATTGCATGGGCTGGGCGCCAATGAGGGCGTATGTCTACCGCTCTGATGCAAATTATGATTTGTGTGTTGATGGCCGCTGACCTGGACCTCGCATCTACCGCTCTGACTTCTCGGTATAGGCGATTGCGAATTGTCCACGTGCCGCCTCTCCCTGAGAGACATGCTTCGGATCGGCATCGGTCTGCTAGATTCGCGCAGTTAATTTAACGCGATAAATTTTTTTTTAACATAACGACAGTAACTTCCGCGGAGAAACGTTTTGAATTACCTGTTGGCGGACTGTGCCTGCTGAATGTATATTTGACTATGATAAACCATTCTCTCATGATCGTTGAGATTGCCCGAGCGATCGATCGCCAATTCTTGAAGCTTTCTACTCAATCGCTTTTCTGCCTTGGCCATCGCCGTGATCGCCGCGAATTTCTTCAGCAATGTGTACCTCCGAAAGGCACGTTGAATCGTCAGTGCCGCGTTCCGCGCCTTCACGCCTCCGTATTTCCGCTCCAGCATCTCGATCTGCTTGTCAAGTAGATCCTGCGACAACTCGTACCTGTAGAAAACGAAACCACGCAATTTTTAACTTCCGATCCATTCTCTTGGCTGCGCCCCTCGATACAATTTTTCATCCGCAAGCGGACCGTTACGGTTCTCTGCGTATCTGTTGTTTGTTCGCGGTCGCGAAAGAGGATATAAGATTACGACTTACGCGGTCTGCAGCCGACACCGCTTGAGCACGTCGCCGTTACGGACCGAGCCCTTCTTAAGGTGATTCTGCTGGTACCCAGCGGACTGTGGTTGCCCGCCGAAGCCCTGCACCATCGTGCCATAGCTCTGCGGCTGCGAGTAGCCTGTCGCGTTGTGCGAATAGACCTGCACGCTCGCGGCAGGATACGGGGGCCCGTGCGCATAATTCTGATTCTGCATGTAGGACTGGCCCGTGATGTACGACGTCGTCGACAGGGACGTCTGGCTACCAGACGAGTACGCGCCGTGCATGCTGTTGCCGTGGATCTGGCTAGCGGCCGTACTGCTGTGCGACGGTCTCTCCACCTTCGACGGGAAGCTGCGCAAGAGACAGATAAACGTTAATTAATTTTTGCTCGAGACATCACGTCCGCGAGACTTTACTTTCTAATCTCAGGTTGTTAACGACTTCTGTATCCCTCAATTGCGAAGTACTTTTCTGATAAATCACCTCTAAGAATTTGACGAAACGGACGTGACAAAAATCGCAGAGAATCATTAATTTCTCGATCATGCTCCGATTTTCATTGTCTATATTAACACCATTCTTACCAGACATACATAGACGTTTCATCATTATTTTTCCGTGTATTATTGAACAGCATTTTCTTAAAGTCGTTTCTATGTAGATTAATTTTAACTTTGATTTACCTTACTTTTATCTTTTCTATTAGAAAAGAAGAAAGAGTAAATTAAACTAAGATTAAAGTTAATCTATATTGATAAAAGTGGACCTCACACTGAGAAAAATGGTCTGGTTGGATTAAACAATAATTCTGGTAGAAAATGGACGAATCAGAATTTTCTGGTTAGTCTACTAGAATTCTAGTTGAGATAACTAGAATTCTGATTGATATAATTGTTCTGGTAAAAATAAGAATTCTAGTAGACTTAACCAGAAAAAATTCTGATTCGTCCATTTTCAACCAGAAATTTTTTTTCAGTGCAGTATTGATTTATAATTTTAACTTATGCAGAGAGACTCATCGCAAAGTTTGAGAGTTGAGTGAATTATCGTGGAGCACAAATTAAAAAAATGGAAGAAATGTTCAATCAAATTTTTCAATTTTCTTCTCTTGAAGACGGCATCTCAAACGAAGAAATTTTATCTTTAGATTTTCACAATTTAAGTTTTTATCCTATCGAGGAAAAGCTAGCTTATGTAAGAGTCTCTAGAGAGAAACATTGTACGGCAAGTCCGTACGGAGATAATTGAAATCAGATAAACGACACCCTGGTTACTGGCGAACGCCAGGTGTTTTTAATTATTAGACAGAAGCGGATACATATACGCGACGCATATAATATGCGTAAGAATAGAGGACGTACCCTCTGAAATGGTAAATGCAAATGATCATGTTGCTCCCGAGGACTCGGACAATTTTCCACGTGTATCGAATTGCACGATCTATCTTTGTCTATGATGCGGTGTGCCACGGACGTTCTCGATGCACAGCTAGTTCTTGCGCGTAATTATTACACCACGATTGCGCCACCGAGCCGTTTCCTCTCTCGCGAAGAACGATGCACGTGTCTCGCGTGTCGACCACCTCGAACACTGAAGACGAACTGGCGGTGGAAGAAGAGCAGCTGGCGTTCTCGAGGTCTGCTTTTCGGACCATTGGGACAAGAAATCCCTGAAAGAATCGTGGATCGAGGACGAGGGGTATAAGTCTTCCTCTCGCCCCTCCAAGATACCATAAAGGTGCGTATTATATGCCCGTATCTCCAACGTACCCTCGCCGGTGTGCATCTGGCAGGTGTACCTACGTCAGATAGCAGCATCGACGACGATAGCAGCATCGACGGTATGTTTGACCGTGACACTCAACCTTCCGCGGCGGAGACCACTTCTTACGCAATGCGCGTCAATTAAATGACTTACGTAATTCGACATAACTTAAGCAAATGAATGCGCAACATATGACAAATGCATATGCCGGCCGAAGAGATGAAACGCGAGATGACTGCGACCAAGAATTGCAAGGAATGATTCATGATTCGTTCGACGAATCGTTCTCTCGAACTTTGCGAGAGCGAAGACTCTCTCCGTTAAATCAATGCTTAGTAAGAAAATGTTGCTGTAATACGTGAAGAAATAATGATGAAATGTATCTGCGTAGGCTAGAATTGTATTACCAGAGAATTAAAATTGGAGCGTGATCGAGAAATCGATGGTACCGCTTCGTCATAAAATGTGCATCGTTCTCGTAAACTAAGTCGTATTTCCCTGCCGTAATCAGTGCGTGTATCATTAAATGTTATACGATAATGTAGTTGAACAATATAAATATGGTGGGTAATGCAGAAGCAACACGTAACCGCATATATAAGAGATTTCAATGAGTTTTAAACTTCAATTAGAAAATCTAAGTACATGAATCTTAACTTAGAATTGAAACTTCAAACAAGATATCGAGCACAATTGAGAATTAAGTTACTTTCTTTTAATAAAGAATCACATTTACATAATAGATCCTTCTAAATCAGTATAAAGTTCAGGAACTTTAATGAAAACGTGTGAGAAATAGAAGTTGTGTCTTTAATTTGGGCACAAAGGAAGATGAATTCAGAAAGCGTATCATCATAACTTTTCAGAGGAAGAATATATTAAACATCATTATCGTTATAGTAGAATGAATTTTATCACATATCGGACTTTTACAAAAATCAATTGTGAAACTTATAAATGCAAACATTGGAAAGCTCTTCGGAAGCATCTGCTTCGGGAGAAGAGAAAGCACGTATATAATTCGTAATATAACAAACGTATAGTTAAAAACCTTCGAGGAAAAAGAAACCTGCCCTACATCGTAGTTGCGAGCAAAGTAAATCGATATTTTTTTTATCAATCGTACTTTTACGAAACGTTTCTTCAGGGAGAACATCAGCAAATCCATAGGAATGGATATGTTACCGGAGACGCGAGATCCTGCGTACAAAGGGATATAAACGCGAGGGACGGTGTGGCGTTAGAGCTTCCCCGAAGGAGGAGGAGGAGGAGGAGGAACAGCTGCTCCATCGTGCCTGCGACTCGCGTGCCACACGAGCGCGTGCTATCCAGAGCCTCCCCGACACGGCTTCGCAGAAGTGGCACGGGACGCAGAAATGGCTCTGCCATGCCGCCTGCCTGCCGTGCCGATGGTGCCTCGACACGCACCTGGCTCGATGTTTTTTCTTTAGGGAAGATGCCGCAGGCGGCCAAATGTACGGACTGGCTTCTTCCTGTCCTCCTTCAAGAGGTGCTTCTTAAGAGTCTATAAGTACAGTCCTTATTTCACTTTGATCCATGGAAGACAGATCGCGTCTTAGGAAAATATTAGATTATTTAAATTTGAAAGACTCGTTCATGTATATTTTTTGCCTATATATCATTTTTACAGTGTACAGTGAAAAAGGAAAGTGAACGGACTTTCAATCGATTTGATATTATTGGAATATATCAGGGAACGAATAGATGTGAATGAGATTATATTTAATGCAATTGTTAATTGCAATTTATTAAATATCTTAATACGTGGTTTTGAATGGAAAATATTCTGCAGGTATTTAACATCGCGAAAATACAATAGGATTTGAACCACCGACAGAAATCCTGTATTAAATGGAGATAAAATTATGTTTCCTTTGTAAATATATTTAATGTCATATTCTATTCACGGTTCATGTGTTTGAATATATGTAATATATTCATTTTTTTTTGCCTTTTTATACTTTTGATAATAATCGTGCTGATGATTATTATATTATTACATCATTTTATATTTGTAATATTTACCTCTTTAGATCTATAAATGTAATTGCGAGAAAATGTAGTGGTATTTCTATAAATGCAGTTGCATGAGACCGCAGTATCCACCCATCGCGTATGGATACATAAATTAAGGATTATTATCGGTACATTTGATATAACGATAACGATACAACGCATTTACAATTTAATCAAGTTTCACCGCTGAAAGCAAGAGACACGTAGCAGCTCGTTAACTTCTTAACATGTAACTTGATATATCCTCGAAGTACATGCAAACGTCCTTTTGTTTCTAGAGAGGAGAGAATTGAATTACCGTGTAGTGATAGCTTACGTTCATTATCATTGGCCTAAATGCGCACAATATAAGCCATTTGCATATTGCGAACTCTCCGGGCGGAGTCACATTCGTCATATCACATTCGCTTTACTCGAATTAACTGCGTTAATTGCACAATGCATACGTGTGTGTATATATATATATATATATATATATATATTTATTTATTTATTTATTGCATTTTTCTTTTATATACTTTACTTCGAAAGTAAGATACAACTAAAAAAATATGATTTTTGAATTATTACCATGAAAGAGTTAAGTAAACATCGCATACATATATAAAAGAGAAATGCAAAAATGTGTGTGTGAAATGAAAATGTTTGGTATTATGAATTATTCAATCATGAAGCTTTAGATATAAGTGACGACAGTTTGATGAAAGCGTCGGCTCTTTCGTGATCAATTACGATGTGAAAATCAGCTGACAGCTCATTTCCACGAAGCTCTCGAAGAGATGCGTTTAAGGACGTCTTTGCTCTACTTATGAGACGTCTCGGCAGATGCGGATGCATAGAGGATTTGCGCAAGTGTCCATCGCTCCTGTCAATTACGCCTAACGTCGCTTATTCACGGCACGCAGTCATGGCACATTTTATCAGAGCGATATTAATAAATTCCGCGGTGCAAACTCACGCAAAAATCGATTCGAGATGAATTCCATTCGTACTTCTTGACGAGACATCAAAATATAAGAAAAACATTCTTTCAATATTAAGTATTTTCCGATATTACGGTGTCTTTTACAAGATGCTTTGCAGAAATAGTTTTCAGAACATAAATAAAAAAGGACAGATATAAGAAATAAGTATACTAGGAAAATATTAAATTAAAAAAAATATTAATTTGAACAGTTAACTAAGTAAATATTTACTAAATTGTTTATTTGATACAATCATTAATTAGATTTAACTACACGGACAGAATTGTCTTTTAAAATTTAACCTGAAAATATGATATGGTACAATACAATATTTTACAGATTTTTATTTTTTAACATGCAACTTCAGTGTAAATTAATCAAACTTATTATATATTTTATTGTAGTTTTATTAATGAATGAGAAAAATTTATATAAATAAAATAAAATAAATTAGATAAATTAAATTAAATTAAATTAATAAAATTCTTCGAAATATAATGTTGTCCCAAAATTATCATATTTTCAGGATAAACTCTAAGAAAAGATTCTTTCCGTGTATTCTTTTATTGAATATTTATTTATTGTAAATAAATGTTTATTTATTTTCCTAAAATCGGCTGATCTTTTCATTTACAATGGATAGCAGGATTCTTTTCATTTAATATATATATATATAGGGTCATCTAAAAAGTATCCGCGGTTTTTTGTCACTAGATGGTGTTGATGGTCAACACATCTACTGACAAAAAACCGCGGATACTTTTTAGATGACCCTATATATATATATATTAAATGAAAAGAATCCTGCTATCCATTGTAAATGAAAAGATCAGCCGATTTTAGGAAAATACAATTATATTCAGTCGACTTCCGTTCGCAAGTAAAGTTTAACGTCATTAACTCTATGTCTGATCGGTGACTTTGGCACGTAACACTTTTTGTATCGAGAAAAAAATCGTTGTCAGGTAAATGTGTTATGAGGTACACCTTACGCAGAAAAAGTCTATGTATACGGTGTCTCAAATCCATTACGGAAATTATTAAAGCGTGCTCTATTACCGCTGCTCGCGCGCCGCCGTGGACTAATTATCATCGAGCAATTAACAACCGTTGATTGCCATTACCGGCGTAGGTGCGCGAGGGCGTACGCTTGCGCGAGCATCGAGCATCCTACCAGATTCTACCTTCTACCTGAGAAATAATTTTGCTCTCTACCATCCGCGTAAGCATGTGCGTGCTATTCCTGTGCGTGTTTGCGATAGTCTATCTATGTATTAGAGAGGAAGAGGCGAGGAGATGATGCCGCTTTAGAGAGATTACGTTTCCTCCAGTATGATAATTACATTCGTGCGAATCTCGTCGAGATAGCGCCGATAGAATGTTAGCAGTTTCCTTTTCTCCAATACAATTTGTTTATTTCCTTCCGTTTATATACAAATTTGCGTTTCTGTACAGATTTATGTACAGATACGCTTAACGAATTACATAAATCTGCAGATTTAATAAAGTAGTAGAGAAATTAAAAAAAATATATCATAAGACATAAATAATAAATTACAATTAGGGATGCACAAGACATCCGAAAAGTATCCGATATCTGTCTGGTATTATTTGTATCCGATATCCGGTATTATTTTATACACTTTTTTTTATTATCCGACCGGATAGTCGGATATCATTAGCATCCGGGAATATATCCGGTTGAAAATTTATATCATTAAATTGTTGATTTTTTTATGATATAAATATTCTATAAATAAGTATGCATATTCATAATGTTTATATAATAACTTATATATTGTTACAAAATTACAATTTTTTCCTCTACAGTTATTATCTCTATTGATCTTTTTTATTCCCTTTTTTTCTTTTTTTACTCAGCCTCTTTTTGTGATTGTTACCGAATCCAGTCGGATATCCGGAAAATATCAGATATTCGACTCGAAAAATTGCCTTCCCGGATATTCGATATCCGATAATTTTACGATCCGGTGCATCCCTAAACATAATACTGTTAAATCTATAATGTCAATTTAACTTAATTTAAGCTGCCATTGCTTCAATATATCGTTATTTTCTACTAAAACAATGGTTAAATTTGACACTACATGGTGTACAATTTAACCATTATTTTAGTATAAAATAACGATATATTGAATAGGAGCAGTGACAACTTAAATTAGATTAATAGCATTTTTCATTGGCAGAATTAATGCGTACTCAGTGCACTTTAAAGTCGTTATACACAAATCGACGATAAAGATGTACGTTTAATAAAAATATAGAAACGAATTAAATCGTGAAATATTCAATGCATTTTATTGTGCTATTTGATAAAATACACATTGGGCGTTTTATCAATTGAGATATCTCACTTTTACAATTAGATTAGAATAGTGCGCAACAGTTTTAATGTGCACTGAATGTGCATTAAAATTCTGCCAATGAGAAACGCTATAAATTTGACACTAGATATAACAGTAAAAAAGCTGCTTTAAAGCATCTTGCATCATATTTAAAAAAATAGGGTTACATTAAAAAAAAATATTAATTTAAGATGATTCGAAAATTAGTTTTTCAATTATACCTTTATCAGTAGAGTTTTGTGTGTAATATAGATATAAAAATTCTGACGGAATAACAAAATATACATTCGATAAATATCAATTAAAAATGGCAGATTGAACGATCATCGAATTTGACAGGTTGTTAGATTTTGATGAAATAAAAATAACAGATAGATACCGATTGATGAATGACGTCGGTGTGGAGTAACCCAATTGAAGACGCGACCTGACGACCCTTTCCTGAACGGTCACCATCTTCGAGCTTCGTGAACTTTGGTGCACTCTGGTGGTTCGTATCACTTGATAGCAGTGGTGCTGAGTCTGGGGTGAGCAGACCGTCACCCTATCACTGCGTGGCTCGATCATCGTATATGTGATCATCACTGTTCGTTACGAAAATGTTCACCGTTCCGGGATATGAGTCCCGCTTCGATTCGAGTTCATTGTTGCGTTTTTCGCACAGATTATACGTTTTAATTCAATTCGTAAATAACATTCGCGAATTACCACAATATTCTTTGGTTAACTGGCAGAAGAGTAATCACGTTAGAGAAGATACGCTCGGTATCCAACGAACCTATAAATCCGATTAAAGCAGAAACCCGTTATATCTCGGTTGGTTGTGGCACAAATTAAGAAAAAGATTTTTAACAGTGCTAATATTTTGTGGTGTTTACTCGAAATTATTATACCTTGTTACGTAAAATAAAATCAGAGAATCATAATTTTAAATAGCAGATAATTGTTAAGTGATGAGTTAAAATCATTTATTCAGTTGTTTATTCAATTATGTCGTTATAATCGTCATAGAAATTTAGATCAATAAGTTAATAATTAATCATAGCACGTCGGATCGATCCTTATTAATAGGTAATAATTCTTGAAATCTAAATTTGGTTTCCATGCACGGAGACCACCTTGAATTTCATTTGAGCTTCAATGCGCATTTGACACTAAGTAATTGGGTTAACTATTGCTGAGCTACTCTCGGCAGCGATCAATAGTATCGTTTTCACTCGTCCATCTTTTCCGGTTGATTCACGGGTTATCGTTAAAACTTTCTAACGATACCTGATTAATATGCGTAACATTAAATATATCACAGTACGATATCTACGTGCGATGTTGATATTTATCAATGATCTCTCTTTAATGAAAGTTTATACATATGTTTATACATATTTTTATACACGTGTCTCGACTACATATATCAGAAAATAAAAAATATAGAAAAATATATAATTATACATATATATTTTCATATTTTTTCCATAATTCTCTCGCATGGAGGGAGCCTTGTCGTCACACGGACTGTGAGTAGCTTGAATACTAAGTATTCAAAGATATTCAAATCAAATTATCTCAACGAAAATTGAATCTTATTCTTAGCGGTCGAAATGCCTTTAATAAATTTTAAAAAATTACAAACTGTTCAATTAAATTTTATTTAAATTTTTATGATTTTTATTTGATTTTACAATGTATATTACTTAAAATGTGAGAATAGAAATTCGAAATAACAATGTCGTTTCTATTACGCGATTAACATTCTCTAGTAGAACTTATAAATTGTACGCTTAATTGTCATAAATAGGTGTACAATACTTATTATTTGGCGTGGATGTTGAAATCGAATTCAACTGAATGAAGTTTGCAAGAGAGAGACTAACTGAAATTTCCGCTGTACTAACGCGTTAATTAATTTATGACCAATGCAGTGCGACGTATATGTCGGTGGATACCGTTTGTTGTTCGTCTTTAGGCGACTCGTATCGGGGACGCACGTACGAAAAAGTCAAAGACAGCGAATAATAATGAGCGCAGAAATCCTTCGTGCAAACGAGACCGCACGTGAAATGTCTTTAACGGTGTGACATACAGCGAAATAAGTCCTTTACAACGCGACTCTGAAACTTCGTGCGGTGCATACTCGCAATTTCGTCGCGCAGCTCGTTAACGATCCACTTTGTTCTCTTTTACATAACGAAAACTTATCTCGATCTCCCTGGGGTTGCCAGTAGACAAACGCGACGAAATTGATCAAATTAATCCAATGACGACAATGGCGGAACTTCACCGGATGCGCTCGCCGAATTGATCCAAGGAGAAACACGATGGGTACGTTGAATGCTGCTCGTTGAATGCGCCCAATCGAATCAATTCAAATTTCCATTCACATGAGATCGACGCCACGAGGAATGCACTTTTCACGTTTATCGCGACTCAATTTCACACCTGTGACACTAGGAAACGTATAACGAAGTGTCCGCTTTCCACGTCGAGCGATCGGGGAACAATAAAAATACCTTGACGGACCAGCGAGCACGTTGATTCACAATCGTCAACTACACCCGTTCTGTTTGCCGTTAGCTTCGATACCATAATGGAACTGTCAAAGTCGAATGAAAGGTGGGGCGGCGGCCTCCCACCGGCGGCGATTTCAACGGCTGCGCGCGGATACATTGTTACGCTCGTCTCGATGCTGCTACCGCTCGGAAATACAGGTCAATTCACTCTGGCCGTGCGCGATCGTCGTGTGTACATATATATTTCTGAATCTACGTTAAAAAGAGGAGAGTTACGCTCGAGACGGGACGAGAGGTCATTGCACCCATGAGGGAGAGATCCACTTTAACGCGCGGTTGGAAAGAAGCCCCGATCGATTTATGGCGCACAAACGATTTCCAATCGCGATCCCAATTACGCTTGCGTCGATTGATCCGAGTTAATCCGTCACGCCTATATATATTCCGCAAGAATTTTCGATTTAGCCGAAAAGAGTGATAAAAACGACTCGAGATACTCCGGCTTTATATATACAGAAAAATATCATTCCACCGCTAAGAAAAGTGATTACTCAGTTTACTTTTTTCTTTTAAATAATGGTTAACAAAAAATATTTTTTTCATAACAATCATAAAATGTATCTACTTATTCTAAATTTTGTTAGAAAATCTAATTATTATATATTCAAAAATTTATTTTTTGAAGATGTTATCGAAGAAACGGCTTTATATAATAAACGAATCAAATTTATTTTAATTTAATAATCTTGATTAAAGTTTCAAACTTACAATAGAATTCAGAATATGTTTTGAATAAATTTGATGCTTGTGACGAACTTATGATTTTACGAATATATGGACTCTTGAAACAGTAATTAATATTTAAATACAGTATGTATTATATTTTTGAATTCATATACAAAAATCTATAATATGCATATTATTTTCGTATGCAATAGTTTTCAAAATTAAGACCTAGGATATGTCTAAAAAATATTCGAAAAAATTGAAGCATCTCGCAAATATCCTTCGAATTTTCGTGTTGCCTATAAATCACAGCCGTTGACAAATTAATAAAAAACATACAATAAAAGGCAAGCATATCACGGGCAGAGAAAAAACAAGACGCGAAATACAGTCGCCTCCGCATTTCTCGTGCGATTTTAATTGAACGCCTGTATCTCTACGTGTTGACGACAGATTTATTCCTCTTTGAATGGTACGCGCGCTCGTACTGTCAGCTGAACTGTAAATAGAAAAATAATAGCGCACAACAGGTATATTCACGTACCGACTGTACTTTCACGTATGTTAATGTCAACGTGATAAGGATTTCGCGTCAATACAGCGACAGTTTCAACGAGCGCGTGTGTTCCAGTTTTAATTTCGCATCGTCTGTGCGGGCTGTTGTTTTTTTTTCCTCCGGTCTATGAAGAGCACGCAAGCGAAATACGCTTCACGCAACATCGAAATGGGAATACACTACTAGCGTACTCAAGTAGATTTTTTTTCAAGGATGGTTCGTTGAGTCTGTACAAAATTTTGTGCAACTAAATCTAGAATCGATTCTATTTTCAATTTTTTATGCAACAATATAGTAGTTCGAAAAATACGACTAAGGTAAACGTCCCAGTAACCGGATATATACCTATATCCGGACATTTACACAAAATTTATTATTATTAATCTCTTAAATACTCTTTTTATTACATATTATATTTTAATTATATTTAAAAATTATAATTGATTCAATAATAAGAAATAAAAGTAACGACCATAACGGTCAAAGCTAGAACTTTAGTATATATAGTAATTCAGATTGAATTATTTAAGCATTAAAGATCCAGCTTTGACCGTTATGGGCATTACTTCTATTTCTTATTGTTGAATTTTCAAATGTACGGTTCAATAAGGTTCTTATATCGTTTTTCACTGACAAAACTGGTGCGCACTCAGTGCACATTAAAGCTGTTGTACGTTAATCTAATCTGAATGTAAAAGTGAGATATCTCAATTAATAAAATACTCAATATATATTTTATCAAATACAAACACAAAATGTATTGAGGATTTCGCGATTTAATTCGTTTCTATATTTTTATTAAACGTACATTTATTTTACGTCGATTTTTATACAACAGCTTTAAAGTGCACTGAGTGCACATCAACTCTGTTAGTGAAAAACGCTATTATTGTTTAAAGTACAATTAAATTATATTATATTTAAAAAAGCATTTGAGATTAATAATAATAAATTGTGTGTGTCCAAACATAGATACATGTTCGGTCACTGGGACGATTACTTTAATTATGTGCTAAAATGTTTTCATATTTTTTTAAAAATAAATATATAATAGCATCTTTTACGAATATATTTGGCACGATATGCATACTGTTAAATATTAAAGGAATAATAGTAATTCTCTTGAATTAAATAACATTTTGTTATTTTTAACTTTTATATGGGTCAAAATGTAAATAAATAATTTCTGTTGTTAGATTCGAGATAAACAAGGTTCATAATATATGCACTTAATAAGTAATTAACGTCACTTAACAAGTAATTAACGTCATGTTGAATAGAAACAATGGCGATGTATAAAAATGATTAAAAAAAAATTGAATATATATAATTTAATATTATATAAACTTAATCTCTTCATCTCGGAAGATCAAAAGTTCGCTCCGATTTTCATGTAACAATTATAAGAATATCTGTCAAACAACACATCAGAATTTCTCACGCAAAAACGATTAAAGTAAAAAAGATGATTAAAATAATATTTTCACTTCACACGGCCGCGATATTCACGAGTGTACTCATGAAAAACGTTTCAACAAAGTTGTCCTAACGAAACCATAAACATTCGATTTTCTGTAAATTCCATTGGTGTTCTAATCGACGCGATTTACTGAATTTCTTTGCACGTGCGAACGTGCAAGAGCAAAGAATCGCACAACATCGGATTCACACGCGGGTCCGACTTCATCTTCTCTTCGTGGATCGGATACTAGTTTCGCGTCATGCGCGAACAGCCTACGTACGAGAGCACGGACACGTCGAGATCCTCAATTTGCCTGTGGCAAAAGTAAAAGTTAGCGATCGGGAGAAAGCTCCGGTCGAGCGGTACGCTCGGCGGTTAGACGCGGGCGATTGTGGGACTGGTCTAGGCGCACGAATTGCAAGTGGCAAAGGTTACAAGTGATTTCAGCGGAAAGCAGAACCCGCGAGCGAGTTCGAATCCTCCAGAGAGGAAGAATCGAGAGTAAGCCGTGCGAAAGCAACTCGACG